TTGCTTCTAGGTAGTTTAGGGCCTTCATTTGAGTAGTCATTCATTGGCATACTTATTTTCAATTATTTATTTAAGTGCTTTCACCATGTCAAGTATTATAAAATGCATAACACCTGAAGCCACGTATAGGATAGCCAACATTTCTATTTACACAGAGTTTTTGTTACTCCACAAGTAATAGAAAATATACAAATAAGCATATATAAGTAAGCTAATTGCAAATCACAACAAGTTCCCCAAGTATAATAAAAAAAAAACCATGAAAATGAAGGGAACCAATGGTGGGAAAGATGGTAGCCATGGGGGCAAAGTTCTAAGAAAAGGCTTTTCTTTGGATGTAATAGATCTGAGACAGGTATAAGGGAAAGACTGAATCACAGAAAATTTTGAAGGGTGATTCGGGTCAGTGAATGGCAGAGTCAGATGTCCTGAGTAGGGAACAATCTTGATACTGCTGGGAGCATAAGAAAAATCAATTAGCTCTTCTTTCCTATAACAAGGGCATTCTGTAGATGCTGAGGTGGAAGAGGTAGGCAGAAGATGAAGATTTTAGTGTCTCTCTTGCCATGATAATGGCTTTGATTTTAAGGCTTGGAAAAAATTATAAAAGAGAAAGAAAAACTATAGATTTTCCCATGTTATTTTCAAGTTGTGGCATAGGTATATATTAATATATTTAAAATAAAACTATTTGATGTGATCATGTCCATAGAAAATTTCACTTTCTCTTTTAAAAACTTCAGGTTGAAAACAGTATTTATGATACTCCCTTTAATTAAAGGCCCACATTTCCTATATAGTATGTCAGTCTGCATAACCATCATTTTGTTCTAATGCTGACAAAACAGAAATTTCTTTTTCTACATTATCAATCCTAAGAAACAATCTCATTTAGAGTTGCAGTATCAATTACTTGAGAAGAAGTTTTGCTAATCATATAACCACCTTTATCAGAAGGCATTGCATAAAATTGGTATTTTCAAAATTTCTAAATTGGGCCCTCTCTATCAGAAATTGTAAGAATGTCACTTGGTTTAAAAATATAGTCTGGTGTTCCATTCCTAAAGGTGCTATTATGCTAACAATAAATCTGAACAAGACTGTAGGCAGAGTGTGGGTTGTGAGATACTCAATATTCATCACACTCTTACCCAAAGGAATAGCCATTATGTGCTTCTGGGATCCTTGAGCAATGTAGGTTTATTACACCTGCCAATTTTCATGGATTTGCTGTGTGATACATCGTTTTCTTTGAAGAAATCTTAGTCACAGTGAATATTTTCATTCCTGTGGCTCTCCCTCTCTGAGGTAGTTCATTTACTGTTGTTCTCAATTCAGTAAAAGACTAAGTTTAAAATAAAGTAAGATTCCAGCAATCATAAATATTTCCCAACAAAGCCTTACCATAGGTACTTAATTGCAGATAGGTGATATATTTTCTCTAAAATTCTTTTAGGGCGTGACATTTATAAAATAGGAGCCCAGATGTAAGTGTTGATGAAATAAGACATTTTATGTATTTGTATCAACCTTAAAACAACTTGTTTCAGGTTTTACTAATCAATTACTTTAATAGTATTTTGGCAACAATATAAATTCATTTGTTAGTAGATATTTCATGAAAATTTGGCAGGGAAGATTTTATAATATCGTCTCAGTTTTTCTCCTCCAAATTAATTAATATAGTAGGAGAAATCAGCTCAGTATTTCCTGTGCCATAAACAACAGTGAGAATGCTAAAGTAAGCCTTTAATTCTATCCTGCCAATAAGAGTGACTAGTTTCATGTTCATTGAGTTATTCAGCCTCTCTGATGAAACCAATTCTCATACTAATTAACCATTACTTTATAACTCTATAGGGTATTTACATCATTTATATCTATATTTACATCTATATATAGTGCTCACTCATATTAAAGAATATACATACAAATGGTACACAAATGAATCACTTCCATTTATGAGCCAAGTATATTAAAGTCATTATTATTTAAATGAGTACATTCTACTAAAATAAAAAAGCAAAATTTTATAAAATGCAGAAATACTTAGATATTATCTATACTGAATGACACAGGAGTCACATCCCTTATGAACAGTGATGGTTGCTATTACTTATTACATCTGACTGTATAATATAACTGTTGGCCCTCACCCATAGTAGAATAACAACTGTAGAGCTTCTATTATTCATTGAGCTTAAAAGTGTGCTATCTCTAAGATTGGATAACTTGCCCATCGTCCAGAGCTCCAAGCCCTGCACTCAGTAGCATGTAGTCCCATCCCTCTTCTTTATGCCCTGCACTATGGAATCTTCCAGTCTTGTTCTCTGCTCCACCTTCTCATTGTATTCTACCCTTACTCAAATCCAATTCTGTCTCCCTCTTATAAACACAGTTGGGGCTGTAGATCTTAATAACGCAATAAAGTTTCTCCGTGTTAACATCTTTAATTGTATTTTCAAAATTTCCATTATATTGATATATAATATTCATAGTTTTCAAGAACAAGGATATGGATATGCAAGGTTACTTTTATACCATATCTACCAATAAAATAATTTTAGAGTACATTATTAACATTTGTTTCTTAGTTAAATGGTCCTTAGTTTTCTCTTAAAGTTTAAAAATACTAAAGTGAATTTTTAAAAAAAATTCAAGTCCTCAAAAATGTCGTACAGGAAAGGTTCTAGAAATTATAAGTTTAATTAAATCAAAACAAAGCACAGAAAAAGTGGATGGTTAAAATCTACATTTCAGTGTGACATCCAGGGTGACAAAGATATATCAATATTTTCATGGGTTTATAACAATCAAAATAGAAAAGCAAAACATATAATTTTGAAAGATTTTCTAGTTCTCCAAAATGAATAAAATAAAGTTGGGTTATATATATTCAGACAACTGAATTTTCTAAACTTACTTAGTCTCTAGAAGTAGAGAGACACCATCAAGCCTTCCAATAAAGCAAACAGGTTTAAGCAAATGTTCTCTTGTGTAAAACATCATCTACTGCTTTATTTCTGGGGTAATAGTTAACTGACATCTTATTTAAATAACTGTGACTTAAGAATTTTACCCATCTATTCTTTCACAAGAAAGTTATACACCAAGGATATACGATTACTTTCCCCATTAAAATGAAGCAAAGAACAGATTGGATCACAAACAATTTGGATGGTAAAATTAATAGAACAGCTGGGCTATTTCTTGGATTTGATATGTGATCTGGAATAACATTGTTTTTTTTTAAATTTAATGCAAAAGGTATTAAAGAGAACTTTGATTAATTTAATAGACATATTTAAAGGGCAAATGTTAATGTTGAATTTTGACAGAAAGTTGAAACTTAAGGGCAGGCATAGAATTCTTACACGTAGATAATTTGCTGACACTTTTATGATTCTGCTCTGTGCTTTCTTAAATCTAAAAAGAAGACATTAGTACTTAACTCAAAGTCTTATGACAGACAGATGTGACAAAAATTGATGTAATCACTTAGGATAAATACAACTAGTATTCCTACCTATTGGATACTCTAGTAGTCGAAATAACTTAGCATGGTGTTCTGATTCTTCTGATTGATTTCTGAATATTTAACCCCACTCATAGCTTTCCATTTCTTAGTATTGCTATTACATGCATCTCTTACAATTACTGTGTTTCTGGCTTGTAAGCTATTATGTTTATGCCTATATTTGTCCCAATATATTATTGCTTCATTGTGAATACATAAAAATAGGAAATGCAACTAGTAACCTCTCATCACACTGAAGAAGAGACAAAATGATGGCAGCAGATGGGCTTTTCTGACAACGAGCTGATCTAATCAGTGTCCACACCCTGTAACAACTTAGGCATGTAAGTGTGAAAATGAAGGCTAGAACTGCAGGGTCTGCATTACAGTGCTTGGTTATTTCCAAAAGCAGTCGCTATCATTTCCATTCCTATCTGCTTACACCTTCGCAGTGTAACTGTGCAGTGGTTCTGCCAGGAGATGGAGCATATTTCCACATCTATTAGTCTAGTTGGATCTTGTGAATTTCAGTAATCAACATATGAGATAGAAATGGCATGGGAGTGGTCACAGGGCCTGGCATCAAGAGACACTGCATGCTTAGATTTCCAGAACCCTAAGAAGCCATTATGTGCAAGAATGCAGACTCATACAGGGAGAAAAACCACTTAGATCAAAGTCACAGCAAACCAAGCCTCGCTGCTGAGCTTATTCTCATCAGATCTCTGGTAACTCTAGCTGACCACAAGGGCAGGGCACCTCAGCAAAACCCCACATTCAGTCCGGGTGAGCACACTCTGAATTACAAGAACACCAGCCTATCACTTAAATATGTATTTATCTGTTACTTGGATCCAATCTGATTTAGAGTAATTTACTACAAAGCAAAATTTAATGAATATTCAGCCATTACAAGCTCTAGCCTCTTAGCAACTGAAAAGGAAAGGACAAATTTCTAAGGTCATTTTATGTTCTGGTGTAACATTCTGTGCCAGTGTTGGCGAACCTTTTAGAGCTTTCAGTGGTACAAACAGCCTGCTGAGGAGCATGTGTCACAGGGTTGTATCAACATTCTATATCATCGTTTCCTAGATTTTCAATGTAGCATTTTCCCACAGTAAGTTCTGAATTCTGAATACAGTTCCATTTTAGATTTTTAAAGATTTATAAATTAAATTTATAAAGAACAAATCTTCACTATTCAGTGAAGATATATTCATTTAATCATAATTTTACTCTATGATGTCATCTTTAACACTGTATAAATATAATAATCTTAGCTTCTGATTAAAGTAGTATTTGACATATTTTAGTGATTAAATTCCTCTATATCAGCCATAAAGTATATTAATTATCAAAAGTTTATCACTTAGTCATTCAAATAACATATGCATTGTGCATTTTAGAACTTGTTTCACCTAGAGAAAGAAATACAATGCAAATATATTTATCAAGCTAAGCTCATAATAATAGAATAGTTTACCTGCACAAGAGTTTATGAGTGGCAGCAGAATTACCAGTTTCCATAGCAACCTCATCTCCACTTTATGAGGTCAAAATTTTTTTCCATACAATCAGTAGGAATAAAAAGTCTGTCTTCTAGTAGGACTTTAAAGATTCTGAAAGAAACAAAATTGCCATTAAATAACAAACTTATAAACATTGGTGTGTTAATGTGTATATTGATCATTAGCAATTATTTCTATATAATACTGGCATATCACTCAAAATAAAACAACCAAAATGATTACATTTTCATACAAATGTACAAATTTCAGAAATTTGGTTCATATATTTGTAATTTCAGTTCACATCTCAAACATATATTTACTATGATACTTGTTGTTTCTAAGGAATTAGAAGGGTATACAACTGGTTGTGTTCTATAGGGATTAAAGTTTTCATTAGTTTAATTTGAAATTCAGTTTTTTCAAAGTATTAATGATGATAAAACATTAAACTAACTCCAATAATTCTGTTGCTTGATTTTGTTGGATTTTTAGTCATAAAGCATAAAATCTAATCTATATCACATGTACATAGATTTTTCAAAAAAATTGTTACTAGTAATGAAAACATTCATTAAGAAAGATTATCTTTCCTGAAACATTAAACTTAAATATGATGTTGTTCTACAAAATGTCTACAAGAAACACATGGCTGGCAGTGCTATACTTCAGCTATCAGCTATCATATCTAAAAAGTTTGTATCATATTTTCCTCTATTTTTGACACTTAAGTTATTAAAAATAAATAAAATCAAAATTAAGTGTTTGTTTCACCTTAACTTCATTAAACTAATTCAATGATTTTGAAAAATATTTTTATTTTTTAATTTTTTTTTGTGGGACCGGAGATTGAACTCAGGACCCTATGCTTGCCAGGCAAGTGCTTATTCTACTGAGCTATCTCCCTGGCCTCTTCAACGATTTTATAAACTCATAAAAAGAAATTCATAATACAACGACCTAGCTTTTATTGTTAAGCTTCAAGTCAAATTATAAGCCCTTTCAGAAACTACCAGTTTGGTAAAAATATATTTCATGGCAACCTCAAATAACCTTTGAAAATATATGGAATTTAAGTATAAAGCTAGGATAAAATTTTACAAAGTTCCTGTTATAGTTTTCTTTTTATCAGTATCTGTTTGTGATACATAGTGGATACCTACATTGTGGAAATCTTAGTACATATGGATCTCACCTTGCCCTTTTTCTTCCCCTCCTTTTTCTCCTTTCACTCCCAATCCCTAGATATGTTTTTAAAAATATATTTCTGCCACTAGCTGGCTCATGTCAACTTAAATGAAAAACACTGAACCAAATTTAACTTTTTATTAACATTTAATGTAAATGCTTTCAGAAAAAAACATTTGGGGCATTATAATATATTCAGTGGATAATATCTTTTCACAAATACTCTCATATTTTACATTAGTTTTCATTCCCTTGCATACCACAGATGCTATTTGAAATGCCTTACATTTATATCATATATTATATCACTCTCGAATTCATCATTGTTCGACAAGTATTGATTCTTGAGGTTTATTCTCTGTCAAGCTATTAGGCACTTAGGTGTTAACTGTGAACCTAACATCATTTATCTTTACCACTGAATCTGGCTGTTTTGTTGTCATGTTTTCATGAAATTGCAAACAAAACAAAATTAATAAACAAATGAACCATATACATAATTAAATAATTACAAATATTAAGAGTAGGTAAGGTAGGGTCTGTCAAATAGCTCAGTGGATTAAAGGGCCTGCAAGCAGGTGCAGGGGCTGAGGGTTCGATCCCATGGCCTTCTGTGCCAGCCCCACTGCCAGGGAGGGCTGAGACAGCAATTAAGACTGGGCATACTGGTGCACGCCTGTAATCCCAGCTCTTGGGAGATTGTAAACAGGCAGATCACTGCGATTCTGATCTAGCAGTGAGACCCTGAACACCCTGTAAACCCTTCCTTAAAATACTAAATAAATAAATAAATAAATAAATACCTTATAAAGAAAAAGAATTGGAAACTATGAGATTCATTGAATGAAGTTCAAGTAGCATTTTTCAGCTGAGGCTCACAACAGGAGTAGCCCTTTAGCACGCAAGGTGTGTGTGCACAGCAGTGAAGAAGAGAGCTGCAGGGACTGAGATAAGGATGGATAACTGATGAAAACCACATTCAAAACAAAGAGAACATGCATGCCTAGGTCCCAAGGTAGGGCTGACTTTACATCGCTGGCCCTCTGACTGTGGATCTTGAGGACCTGAAAAAAGTCCAGTTTAATATTCAAAGAGATAATGTTCAAGGAAGAGCAAAAGGCTCAAATACATAAGACCTACAGTCTCTAAGCATGAATATTATAATTTTTTATTATAATTGAAGATTATATGTAGGAGAGGTTCACTATTTAATTTACATCTTTGGCTGCTGTCCAGAAAGGAAGGGATAGAAGAATAGCCAGAATTATACCAGTAAATTAAAGGCTACTTCTGTTGTTCAGGAAAGGATGATAATAATTTTTACTAAAGTAGTGGCTTTGAAAATTTAAATCTCTGGATTGTTTTCCTGACTCAAATCTTTCTTTTTTCTATTTGAATATTATTACCATTTTTTTCTTTTTAAAACAAAGATGAGGTCCAATTATGTAGGTATTTGTGTGTGTGTGTGTGTGTGTGTGTGTGTGCGTGCGCGTTTTGTACAGAACTATAGGGTTTTACTACACAGATTGGACTCATAGTGATTCTCCTGTTTTCAGCCTCCCAAGAGCTGAAATTACAGGTGCACCACCACACCCAGTCTCATGCCATGCTGGAGATTGAACCCCTGTCCTATGCAGGTATACTTAAACTTTGAACCACTCTCCCTTGCACAAAGTTTAAAATTCCTTGGAGTGGTATCCAAGACCATATATAAACTTCCAAATTTTTTGTAATAAGCTTACTGATGAAGTTCTCTAGGAGCCTTATCCCCTTATTCATTCTGTAGAGCCATTGCATGTTCCTTCTGTGTAGATGCTCCTGCATTTCTGCAGGAATCCTCCTCAGGATCTATGTCTCCCTCAAAGCTGTGTAACAATAATATCACCATACTTGCTTGTTTCCCAAGACAACTTCTGTTTACTGAAATATCATGGAAGAATTATGAATAATGGTCCTTCTACCAATAAAAGGTCCTATTTGCAAGATAAATGATATAATCTACCTATGTGTAGAAAATTTATCATGTTTTTTCCTACCTGATAATCTTGTTCTTTTTTTTTATATAGAAACTCTGACTTGCTTAGAAGAACCACCTCCCTATTCACCATTGGTCCACCTAACTGGAGTGGCATTTCCTCCATCTCTTTGGTGGAGGAAAAACCTTGGAATCCATGTTGTCTTTATTAATTATGAATCAGTTTCCTTGAGTAAAATATTTCATAAAAGGATGAGTGTATAACACAATTGAAATCTCTGACAAAGTCAGAAACTGTCAGTATCATTAAGACAATAGTATAAACTCTCCATTACAGTGTTAGCCTATTTAAGAAGATCCAGCTTTCAATTGCGACTAGAAACTCTCAGTTCTCCAATGTGGATAGTGCGCTAAAGCTCCGTCCCAAATGTTTCCCTCCTTAGTCTTGGGCTCTAAGCTTTCTGCATTTGGACCTATATTAAAAGATACCCTCTTTTAATACTTGTAGGTGTTATTGTGACTTGTTCTGATATCTAAAGTTTCTCTAATTATTCTTGGGGTGAGGCTCAGTGGTAGGGTGCTTGGGCGGAGTGTACAAGGCCCTACCATCACCCAACAGAGCTGCCCGCAGACAAACCACTAAATCATTTTCATTATCATAGAATTATGAAACAGTCAAAATCAGCTTTTAATTCTAAAACCCTGGAACTTCTGAATGGAGAGACAATTAAATATTTTTTCGCTTAATCCTCTTTGTATTATATTTTGTATATAATATACAAACATATAAACAGAATATACAAACAAACCATATGGTACCTTATATGTTTTGTCCTGAATTTAGGTGAGTCTTTTCTTACTCTCAAATGATCTTCCATGACTTAAGTCGGCTGGGGCATGTGTTATCAATGGCCTCAGTATATTGCCAGGGTTTTCATACCTTACTGCAGAAATCAACATTACCTGCCTCACTTGCTCAGAACACTTGGTGTGATGTTTAATACAGAGCTCTTATTTAGTAGTATGGGCTGGACTGGACTTGACAGCTTTAGTAACATGGTGGGGTGGTACCCTACTTTCTGAGGAAAAAGGCTGAACTGGGAAGTTGGAGAATTTGTTTCTACTATTGTCTTTCTCTTAAGCAGCTGAGTAGCGCAGGATGGATCATTTGCATTCTCTTCATTGTCAATTTACTCTTTTCAAAGTTGAAGAGTTTGGCTTAGAAATCGTCTTTGTATTTTTCCTATGCCTAACATTCTTAATTCGTTCACTTGAATCCAGTATACAATTTTTAAGCAAATATTGATTGCTTAGCATCTGATTTCTTATCTGCATAGTGCAATGAGGACAAAGCCTGAAAAATATTTTATTTAGCAGTACTCTTTAAAGCTGAAATAGCTCTTTTTTTTTTTTACATGTTACCAATTGTAAAACTTTAAATTGCCTGAGGAAGAATACACTCATTCAATAAAAAACAATCCAGATAAGAAAAGTGTGCTTATTTACTCACAGTACACTGGGCAGAAATATTCAGTGGGTGAACTTTATGCTGGTCAGTGATATGCAAAATATTTAAAGGTTCTGAGTCAAAATGAGCATTAGCACTTGAGGCAAAAGAAGTTCTAAAAAAGTTTACTCATAAGCCAAACTTAAAAATAACTTTTAGAAGCTCTAAAACAGTTTTATAAGTGTTCACCAGTGCTTTGTTTTAGATGTGTTTTACAGACCATGCAATGTTTTCAATGTTATTTTGTCGTAGAGAAGCGTGTGTGTTGTTTCATAATGTAAGGGCTAAATGTACTGTTCTGTTATTCCTGGGTGATCCTGATCTTCCACAGACCACAGGTGTTCACTTTTTCCCTCATGGAATCCTCAGG